TAGGGAATCAAGTCTGTGAATGTTTTTTCTTTAACTGTAGAGGTGCTCTGGATTATCGCTGTAGAAGCAGAAGGAATAGAAAATGTGTTACCTGTATTAAGGTGTGTGCTTGTGCTTATGTGCAGTGTTCACACCTGTGTGCATACTTACGTGGCTGTACAAAACGTTACTGCTACTGCAGGGACCTTACAGTCCTAATAGAGAACCAAGGCAATCGTGCTTTGAGAGCCAGAGGATGGTGCTAACTTACAGCATGTGTGCATTTTCAGTTTTGTGATGTGATGACAGCAGCACTCTGACAGTGGTTAACATTTGTGGGCCTTGTGGAAGGAGCAAAGTCTCCGTGAGGGATTTGGCTGGAGGAGACTTGCCTGCCTGGCACACAGTGATGAGGAGGGTGTTCCTGGCAGGGTTGAAATAAGGATGAGTTAACACGATGTTTTACATTGCATGTGATGCACTCAGTAATCTGGAGTGTGATAGACCTTGTTTTATAACCTTTTAATTTTTATTGCAAACTAATTTAGTGGGGGGAAAAAAGAAGTAATGAAAAAATTTAAAAGGAAGTGTATAGATGTTTCTGTTGAAGGCGGAGGCGTTTGCTTCCTCTTCAAAGAGCAATTATATGTGAACTGGAAAAGCTGTGTATGATAACAATACATCCAATTTGCTATGTTAAGAAACTGAGATGGAAAGGGAAGAATTTGAGGCAAGGAGGATTTTGTAGGATTAAATTATGGCCTATGTATACAGGGCCAAAAGAGGCACAGTTAAGTGTGTGGGTATCTTCAAGATGGCATCCTTACATGACCCCAAAACCGGTGCTATGGTATTTGATTTGTGAATGTGTATGTTCATTGTCCAGGTAATTTGTTAGCAGATGATATCACAATTTTCCCTGGCTCTGGGAGAAATTGAAATAATGGAAAGGTCTCAGAATTGAGACCTTCCCGTGAAGCTCTGAAAAGAAAAAAGGCAACAACAATGTGGAAGGAGATAGGTTTGGTGGTACACATTTTACAGTAATTTACTATATGCAAATTACCCAGAAGTTGTTCAGTTTAATACCTAAGCAGCACAGCTGGAAGTTTTCAGATTCTTTCACAAAGATTTCTCTTTGTGAAAAACCATATTATCATATTGAAATCTTCCCCCAGTCATTATAATTCTTCAGTGGTTGTTAATTTCTTCATGTGCTAAAAAAAGAATAAAGCTAGGAGACCAACGGGGAAATTAATCAATATGTGACTGTTAATTAAGTGATGATTTTGAACACTGTCCAAAGTCAATGTGTGAATTAAATAATTTTTAATTTAAATAACAATAAATACAATATATCTGAGGATTTCAGAGCAGTTTACAAGTTTTGAATCTCAGAACATTTATATAAGAAGTTAAAAAATACAGCTATGGAAAAAAAAAAAAATTTAAGGCTGCTCAGGAGATGAAGGAGAGTCCAGGTGTCATGGCTTGGGAAATCTATAAAATTTACAGACTTAATATATTACCAAGTTCTTTTATATATCTTGAGTTGACTTTAAGCTGTGAAAGATGTGCCATCCATTTCCTGAACAAATAATAGCATAGGATAATGGAAGATCATTTATGCTCTTAGCTCCTTTTCTATGGAGCTGAAGCCAAGAGAAGTCATCATAATTAAATTTGCCTAAAAAAAGAAATGGTTATCAATAAAGACGGCTTGCCAGAAATAGACAGAAAAGGTGCTTGGGAAGAGTAACATGTGGCAGTGATAAAAGAAAGATGGACAGTAGAGTTGGACAGTAGAGTCAAACTCTACAGACACATTTTGTGGTAAAGAAGTCAGAATTTTCATGGAGATCCATGAAAGAAGATGGCAAAGAAATCTACATGTATCCAAAGCCTAATTCTAGCTCCACAAGTTCATAGAATTGTTTAAGTTGGAAAAGACCTTCAAGATCATTGAATACAGCCATTAACCCAGCATTGCCAAACACCACTAAACCATGTCCCTAATCACCGCATCTACACATTTTTTAATAACTCCAGGGATGGTGATTCAACCACTTCCCTGGGGAGTCCTTTCCAAGGCTTGACAACCCTTTCCATGGAAAAGGTTTTCCTAATATCCAATCTAAACTTCCCTGGCACAGTTTGAGGCCATTTTCTCTCATCCTATTGCTTGTTACTTGGGAAAAAAGACTGAACTCCACCTTGCTAGATCTTTCTTTCAGGTATTTGTAGAGAATTATGTGCCCCCTGACCTTCCTTTTCTCCAGGCTAAACAACCCCAGCTCCCTCAGCAGCTCCTCATAGAACTTGTGCTCCAGACCCTTCACCAGCAACACAGCCCTTCTCTGAACATGCTCCAGCTCCTCAGTGTCTTTCGTGTAATAGGAAAGACACTGAGGAGCTGGAGCATGTCCAGAGAAGGGCTAATGTGCCTAAAAGCCAACACAGGTTTTGAGGTGTGGCCTCAGCAATGCCCAGTACTGAGGTAAAATCACTGCCCTGCTCCTGCTGGCCACACTATTTGTGGCACAGACCAAGATGTCACTGGCCTTCTTGGCCACCTGGGCACAGGCTGGTTCGTGTTCAGCCACTGGGCAGCTTTCCAGCCACTCTTTCCCCAGCCTTTAGAATTTCATGGGGTTGTACCTGTGACCCAACTGCAGGACCCAGCGCTTGACCTCACTGAAATTTGTACTCTCAGCCTTGGTCCATAGATCCAGCCTGTCCAGATCCCTCTGCAGAGCCTTCCTACTCTCCAGCAGATCAGTGCTCCTGCCCAACTTATGTCATCTCTAAGCTGACAGAGGGCACCCTCTGTCCCCTCGCCTGGATCATTGATAAAGACATTAAACACAACTGGCCCCAGCAATCAGCCCTGGAGAGCACAACTGTTCAGCAATTGGCCTGGCCCTAAATCAAAATCCTATCTATTATTTCAGCTGTTTTGAACCATAAAAGACACTCTGAGTAATGAATCCTTGCTTTTGTTTTATTCAACTCTTTTGTTAAAATACAAAATTATTTCTCTGAGGAACCTTGAATAGACTGGAGGTAGAGATTTACAGAGTGACATCCAGAGAGACTAAAAGAGAAGTCAGAAATCTACAGGATTGCCCACTATGTGTTAAGCAACAATTGCTTTTGTGTACATGGTCACACATTATTTGATGTGGTTACAGTAAGGCAATCCCTGCCCACAGTGAGAGGAGGGATACATCCATGCCTAGTTTATAATTTGTTTGTTTGTCTTGTATGTCTTTGAAGAAGTGGATTAGGAATGAAAATAGTTACGAGATGAAGTGTAGGAAAAGTTATATCTCAAGTCTTTTAGGCAACAGGAGGTGGGAATTGTTTTAGCAGTGTAAGGCTGTTGGTCTGTTAGGGTGTCTCATTATAAAAGGGTTAACAGAGTGCTGAAGAATCATACATGTACTAGGAAGGGTAAGGATTCTTTTCCCTTCAAGAGGATCTCACCTAGTGAGACTGGTCCTAGAGGATTCCAGCACTCAGAAAGTGTTCCACTGACTGAGCTGTTTCACGCCAGATTGCTCCACTTCTTGTCCTGCCTGCCACCCACTAGGATTATTTGTACAAGATCGGAGTTGAATCCTGTCATGGTGAATGTAGTGACTCCTGTGTGGGGGATGGGAGCAGAGAGGGAATTGGAATGTGGTGTACAGATGTGTGAAGGTGAGAGTAAAGCTTATCAGCTACTGGTTCCAGAGGGTGGTGGGCTTTTCCTTGGTTTTTTTTTCCTGACTCTGCTGGTGAAGTCATCAGTTGAACAATCTCAATTATCAAGTCATACAAGGTAAAAGTACTAGATCACTAAATAAGGGTGTGAATAATTTTAAATATTTAAAAATATAACAATTAAACATAGGCCTTTTTGATAAGCTGCTCCCTGGGTGGCCTCTATTAAAACCCTCTTGAGACCCCAAAACCACTTCCCTTTGTTGCATAATATTTTTTTTGTTTTTGGTAAACCAGGTTTGAACTGGCAAATTTCTGTGAAGTTCTGTAGCCAATTTAATATTTAAAACAGACCTGCAAAGTTGTGCTGGTTTCAGGAATGTCTTGAGTCTTCCTCCCTCTGCTAACCTACTGTGCTGACCCAGCACCTGAGAAGGACATGGCAGCCCATGGGGACAAAGGAGCATTCTGCAACTCTGCAGAAAAGCAGGATAATAAAAGCTTGTAAGAACAAAGAGTGATGTGGCTGAAGTTTGTGTTGCAGTTATCAGTCAAGCAATTTAAAAGAAAAAAAGAAAATAATCCAACAAAATCAGAGCATGGACTTTGAATGCACAGCAGCTGGTGACCTAAAATGGTAACCTGCACTAAATGTGCTCCTTTGGTAATAACATATGGTTTTCATCCTAGAGAAGACGCTTAAAACTACTTCTCTTTTCTTGAAAAATTTGTCTTGATACGCAGGTCAAGAAGATTCTGCAAGAAGACAGCTGTTCTAGGACCCTGAGAGCGAGGAGACTGCACACATTGCTAGTGCTGTACCTGCTCTGCAGAGGCTTCTTTACTCTGAATATTGCTCGCTTCACAAATCAAAAATTGCATTAGTGGTGTTGCTCAATTTCCATGGGCATATAATTCCATGTGCATATGTCAGGGTGATGAAGTTCTTATATTTCGTTGCTGTTGTGTGCTTATGTCTCCAGCTTCAACCTGGAATCCAGCATTGCATTTTTATCTAACTTTATACTGTGATCTTTACAAAGCTTGGTCTCTTCTTGCCTGTGCTTGTATTTTAAATATGTGTAAAATCATTAAACTGCCCTACATACAATTAAAAATGTAGAGATTGCATTTCTTTTTATTCAGTGCCAGTGCAGATGTCTGAAAGTGAGTTCTGAAGTGAGGGTTTCAGAACCCTCCTTTCAAAACTTTCCGTAGTCATGCAAAAGATGAGTAACACTTTAGAGAATAGAGGACCTCCAGCCAAAATACTTTCCAAATGACCTTAAAGTGTAATTTATCTTTTTATTTTGCAGCTAACTATGGGCCAAATCCAATTTGCAAAGGTTGCTTATCTTGTTCAAAGGATAATGGGTGCATCAGATGCCAGCACAAGTTATTCTTCTTCCTGCGGAGAGAAGGGATGAGGCAGTACGGCGAGTGCCTGCACTCCTGCCCCTCGGGGTACTACGGCCTGCGGACGCCGGACATGAACAGATGCTCACGTGAGTCATTTCTTCAACCCTTACTCTCACTTTTGTCAGAAGGCCATAATTCATGGTTGGTTTTTAAGATGATAATGTTGTGAAATGCAGTTGTATTTTCACAAATGTCTCAAGATAATCTGAAAACTTCTTTGCTAAGGGAGGTCCCAGCTCATTCTGAGATATACACCATTCAGCAGATTAACTAGTTGATGAATCGACCTATTTTTAATTGTTATTATTATTAGTTTAATTAGAAGGGTAATTTAGGGAAAAATATACAATTCACGCAGATACTCCTAGTTTAAGAAACAGATTCCCGCTATCTGAAAATAAAAAGGATTCAGAATAAATTGAGCATGTAGGTACAAGTCAGTATAAACACTGGGTGGGCTTCTTGTCATATTGTTTCTTCCCACACAAATTTCAGGTGACCAGACACCTCATGCCAGACATGCTTTAATATGTAAGTGTTGCTAATTTAATAAAACAGATGTACTATTAAAAACAAACAAACAACCTTTCACTTTTAGTGAAACATTTTATTTGGAAATTTACAACCTGCTAATGTGCAACAAGATTCCCTGTTTGCATGTTTGTGCCTAGAAGCACAACTGTTAAAATCCACAACTACTCTGGTATCTCACATTATTTCACCTCTGTCTGGCAGTTGTGCTGATTTGTATCGATTTTTCCATATGCTCATATGGGGAGTATTACCATATGGATTATTAATCACTGCTGTTACCTCTTATTCCTATTTAGGGAGAGAATGTTTTTGTCGTAGTCTAGCCAGAATCAGGTCACCTGACATAAGAACCTGAAGTGAGAAATAGCTTTACTTTTTTTCCTGCAATAATCAAGTGTCTGTTAAATGTGTGGCGCCTTTCCCCTCGTGCTGTGCCATGTCATTGGGAACACAGAGTTGTGAGAAAGCGTGTGCTGGTTTTCACATCACACATAATCTTGAGCCTCACATGAGGTCACTCAGTGGCAGTCTGGCTGGATGAGGAGCACTTATGGCCGTGCTTGGACCTATCCCAAGCTATCCCACCTCTTTCTCCCCATTCCCTGCGTGGGCTCCATGGGTATAGTATTCCCAACTGCTGTGTAATGTTGCAGAGTGCTGCCTAATCTGTACCAGGTGCTTAAGTTTTGATAAAATATTCAATGAGACAGTATATGGGTCATGTATCCATTCTGTAAAGGAATTTAGAATCTTGGCCTTAATTTTCCTAACACATTTGTGAATTCAACCACCTCTGTACTTGAAATCTTTCAAAACTTGGCTGTAGATACTTCCCCATATAAAAATGTTTTTGAATATATTTATAGATTTAGGAAATAGATTGATTTATTTATATTTGCCTGTACTGTGCTTGTGTTAAAGGCAAAATATTCTGTATTGGCAGTATTCTTTACTTTCTTGAAAATAAAAAAAATAGAAAAGTTAATTGCAGAAGGTGGAGGGTGAATTCAAAGTAATATTTGTTTTTGGTTTTACCACTTACGGAAAGTGGCCTTTTTCCCTGAATAACAGGGTTGATTTTGAGAAACATAAATGCAAGTTCTGTCTAACCCATACTGGCATGTGTTGAGTGCTTGATGTTTATCTCACCCTCATGTCTTTGACCGTCTCCTCCTGTGAGAATAATGATGCATTTATGGACCAGTCCTGGTTCCCCTCTGATGATTTTTGTATTGTATATTTCTATGTTAGTGTAACTGCTAACTGGTGTATTTATACATCACTTCTCTTTTGTTTTCTTGGTTTGGTGAGCTGGGTTTGCACATATGAAGCATTGTGAACATACAGACATTTTGTTGATTGAAGTTGAGTTGAAATAGACATCCTTAAAAATGGAATAGGTTTGTTCCTACTTGCTCTTCTTAGCTATGCTTACAGATTTCATTGCTCGGATAGTAATATCTCAGCTAAAAATAATCAAAATTTTGGCAATGTTAAAATCCTTATGGGAGTTATAGGGCATGAATTACATAAACTGAAATAATTTCTGCCCTAATAATGTCTTCATAGGCACAAAAGCTTTTTAACTTTTTTCTTTTTTTTTACTGAAACACTTTCCCATTTTTGTTAGAGAAGCTATAGAACATATTTTTATAGAAAATGTCTTGATTTTAAAAGCCAAACCTGGTCAGTGCCAAATGTAACACAATAAATACCATAGCCAAGTGCAGCAGCTCTAAAATGATGGAAATTTTGGATTTGAAGACAAAGTTTCTTTTCTACATGTAAGCAGTATGTGTTCTTAGAATTTGCTAAGTGGTTCTCGACTATTTTTCTAGTAACAGTGAATCATGAAATTTGGGACTGCTTGTCTTTAGAAATCAATGCAGTTTCCTGCTGGATATGATGTCTACCTTGAACACTGCAGTTTTGCCTTGCAATTAATTAATCTAGGAAAGTGATTTTGCAGGATCACTGTGTTGACATTGACCAGGATCTTATTCTTGAGGGACTGGTTCAACCTTTGTGAAAAAGAAATTATTATTCTAATGAATTTCCTATAACCATAAGTGTGGACAAGAAGCCCAATTTGTGCTGCTTATATAAACTCGAGCTTTAAAAGCCCCTTTGAAAAATGCTGGGCACAGGAGTTGGTAGCATTCAGGTTATGTGTGGTTGTGTCTAAATAGAGCCAGCAGAAGTTATCTTTGTCAGGGCAAGGCTTCAAACTGATGCTCACATTCCTTTTAACCAAGCAAAGGTCAAGACCACTGAAAATATAAATTTTTCTTTTCATTCATTCTGCCCAATGCCACAAGAAATCTGATCTGAAAAGCCTCATATTTCCCTAATTGCTAACAAAGAATTTTACACAACCACACTCTCACACACACTGTTTAAGTATTGTGGGATGCCCTGTTTTGGCCTGCTTAAGTTCAAGAATAAATATTAAAATCTGTTTCATAAATATTGGCTAAATTTGAAGTGTTGATTTAAGATATTTACTAATTGCTATTTCAGAATAGTGACCTTATGGTTTGTGCTTTTTTTTTTTTTTTTTTTTCATTATAAAAGAAGGAAGAATAAATGAATGAATTACCAAAATTATTATTGTTGCATAACTGTGAGAACCCCGGGATTAGTTCAGGGGTCTCGTGTGGTGGTAAAGTCTCTCCTCCAACCCGTGCTTCCAAAGAAAACTCTGCAGCCTCTTGCTGTTCGGTCTCAAGGCAGTTTATTGCTAGTTATCTAAAAGATTGTCTTTGCCCGCTGCGGCTGCCTAGGTCAGTGGCCCAGGCAGAGACACACACTCCTGACACCCTCACTGCCTGGTGTCTTCTTCTGTCTCCCTGCCCAGGGCTGCTTCTGTCTTTTATATGGTGCATTACGTGTTCCATGTTTACAGTTTTTCCCCAATACCTACTACTTATGTTACAAGGTGCTTTTCTACTCTAAACCAATCCATGAGTGCCAGCATCACCAAGAACATGGAGGCAAGGAAGAAGAAGGAGGAAGAACAGGATCAGGCCCACTTTCCTCCATCTTAAAACTTCTGACCCCCCTGTACAAAGTAAAAACCCCCCTGTACAGGTGTTAAAACCCCCCATACAATACTAAAAAAATTTCCCCTCTATTTTGTAACTACTTCTGCTATACTATCTAACCCTTTGTGGCCGCTTGTTCCACCTTCAAAGTTGGTAACTCATTCCATGGCTCAAACTCAAAATCACAGCTGTTTCCAGCTGCTTGCCAGGGTCTAAAATGCTTCTGACCAAAGCCTGGAACCTCTGAAAATGTCTGAGGGACGTTTTGAGTTCCAACACATAACATGAATAAAAAAATGCTTCTTGCTGTGGCTTCAGATAGCTGAAGAGAGGATACAGCTATTGTAGCTTATTTATTGTATTTCATTAGCTGAAGGATTAGATTTTAAAAAATTAATTATAAAATTAATTAAAAACTTTTTCAAATATAATGGCTTATCCTTTTCAATCTTTGGAATATTTTTCCCCTGGTATTTTTTGTAGGTATGTGTGGTATACATATGATCATTTATAACTAGTTCATTTCCAAATTGACATGTTTTAATATGGAATAGGATATTTCTGAAAAGCCTACACCTGAGTCTGTCATCTATTGCAGGTCATACTCCTCTTAAATTTTCAGAGAAATACAATATTTTATAAAGATAATAGTTATTTGGTATGGTTTGTTTGGGGTTTTTAAAATATTTAATCTATTCATTATGGTGTATATCTCCTAGTAATTTAAGAATGGTTATTTTTTGTGGATCAAGTGTCTCAATAATAGAGAGGAGATAAATCCAGCAAAATTGAGGCTTTTTGCACATGCGTATGTGTAGACGCAGATATCAGATATACTACTTGAAAGCATCCACTCAGATATTCATAGGGTCAACTCATAGAAAAAAAGTATCCTGCTTTCCGTGATAAATTATAAACTGAAAACGATGCATATAATACATGTGCACTTCCCAAAATAATTTGTTGCATCTGTGTTTCATCGAAATTATTTACACATGAAAATAATTTATACTGAACATTTTTCCTCCAAAGAGATGTCAGTAATTCAAATATAATTAAACTAGGAGTTTTATCTACAGTTTGATTTTAAAAAAGCAGGATTAGAAGGACATAGAGGAAAATGTGGTAAACACAGTTACCAGTAATTCTGTCTATATACCAGATGGATTTCAGGATGACAGTATTATAGCATGTCTGGCTTTGCTATTTTATTGCTTTATAAGTCCCTTCGTTTTTAGTCTTGCCCTAACTTTGCTGTCTCATTGTTCCTTATGATCCTTTTGATTTAGGATGCAGAATAGAAAACTGCGACTCCTGCTTTAGCAGAGACTTTTGTACCAAATGCAAAAGTGGCTTTTATTCGCACAGAGGCCGCTGCTTTCGAGGATGTCCCGCTGGATTTGCAGCCTTGGAAGAGCTTATGGAATGTGTGGGTGAGTCAAGTAGCTCTTTTGCCAGGTGGCCATATTCAAATATGGCACTACTTTATGATGATGCTTAGTATTTCTTATCAGGAAATATTCAGTAATGAATTATTATTGATTTCTTTACTGATAATGCTAGTACATTTTCCCAAACTTTAAAATACACTTCACTGGGAATGCCACTCTCTTGTGCATCAGAAAGTTCTGTCCTCTTAACTGTAAAATCACCTTTATGAAGATTTGAAATTCAGAATTAATAAGATTTCAGGACTTGTGTCAGAGCAAACTCTTTCTTTCAAGAGTATTTCTTGCATCTCATGATGGCGAGGGCTTGGAAATGTGAACTTCTGAAGTTTTCAAACCCAGGTGACAACCAAATAGGATCTATGTATTAGATAGAGAAAAAAAGTCAATCTCCTTATTTTAGGAGATTTTTTGACTATTTGGGACTGTCATAACATATCAAACATACAGTTTGATATTTTGAGGTTTTTTTTGGTTTTGTTGATGCTGGCTAAAAAGATTCAGATTCTGTGAGAGATTTTAATTTTGTTTCTAGCTTTTTACCTGCTAATGTTAAAACTGTCAAGTGCTGCTTTCTAAACAACAAAAAAAAAAAACCCAGAAGAATTGCTCACTTGTGTTTTCTTTTGCTTCGTCAGAAGGCTGTGAAGTGGGTCAATGGAGTGAGTGGGGAACTTGCAGCAGAAATAACAAAACATGTGGATTTAAATGGGGCCTGGAAACAAGAACAAGACAAATTGTGAAGAAGCCAGCAAAAGACACAATACCATGTCCAACCATTGCAGAATCCAGACGGTGTAAAATGGCCATGAGGCATTGTCCAGGAGGTAAGTGTAGCCAATGCTTGAAAATCTTTATGATCTGAAGGCCAAATTCTGTCTCTGTTCTGCCAGCCAAGGCTGAAAAGCAGCAATAGTACATCAGTCCTAGTCTGGATAGAGAGACTCCAGGGAAAGGCTCAGCATTGGAAGGTGCCATGAGTACTTTCCATGAGGTAGGTGCCTCATGGAAGAACTGTGACAGGCTGCATTTGGAGCTTCAGCATGGAAATGATGCTCATGGTGGAAGAACTACTTGTTCTGCACATGGCAGGAAAGACTATGATTCTAAACCTCTCTGCAGGTGGCACATACAGCGGGTATTTAAATTCAAAGAAGTTAGTTACACATGGCATTGTTAGCTGGAACCATTAACTGGAACATGTTTATTTTGAATATTGTGGAGTGAGGCCAAACTGTGATAGACGTGATGCAAGCAGAACAGTGATAGATATCAAGATTCTCAGTTTGAGGCCAGCCTATGGCAATTGCCCCAAGTAAATAAAATCAAATTTCTTTATCATGGTGTTGCAAGACTTAAGTAGTCATGCTGATGTGGTTTTTGTAGGCCCCAAACTGAAGACACATCACTGCTGGAGAGTTTTTGTTATCTTTTAAGTTGAAAAGTTTAACCTTTCAGGAATGGATCCTGACAACCTAAACAGGTTTCAAAATTTGTAGGAGAGGTGGGTAATCAGCAGGTGATAAAGATGCCATTCTTTTCAGAGTCACAGGGTTAAATAAAGAATGGACTTCAAGAGATCTCTAGTTCAACCTCCTACTGCTAGCTGGGTCAACTGTGAAATTAGACAAAGAAATAAAGGGTTGAAGAATCCTGAGGAAACCCTTAGCATGATGAATAAGATAAACCTGAAACAGTCTTAGAAAATATACCTAAATAAGTTGCTTTCTATTCTGGGATTGGTGAAGGTGTCTGTCTTGGCTTGAACATTCTGCCTACCAGTGTGTATGTATGTTATACAATAGAGTTTTATCATGGATACGGATTAAATGTCTGTAAGCTTCATTTTTTTGTCTCTAAGACTGCAAGACAGTGTGGAAGAGTATATAAAGTTGATTGATTCTCTGCTATCCAGGCTGACAGTCTGTGATGTACTTTCCTTCCCTGTCCCACTCCCTGTATTCGTACACACTTGGGCACACGTAGGGCACAGTCACAATGGTACAGGGGGCATTGTACAGCACAGTTAATCTGCAACCTGAATGAAATTCTCAAAGGTATTGAAGAGTGGAACCTACAAAATGAACATCTCTGTAGGGAAGAAGAAGAAAAGGTAAAAATGAAGGTTGATTTGGGCTGCCATGGTATGTGTGTCATGGTATCCTTGAATATTAGTCAGCTGCCTCTGCATCAAGGTAGTGAAACTTGCCAGTGCTTGCAGCCTGCTGAGGGATCCAGTTACTTTAACAGACTCTGAAGCCCAAATAGAGTTAGTAATCAGATCAACTGAGGAAATGTTTTACTGCTGAAATGAAAGGAAATAAAAAGGGCCTATGACAAATTCTACTAAATCTCCAGTATTTTCTTTCTTTTCATTTGCCTTCAAATGCAGGTAGTTTAGCTTGCAGTGGAAAATTTGAGAAAATTGCAGAATTGTTTCAACATCATGTGGTACAGATTTAGTCATTTATGTACTCAGTGTGTACAAAAGCAGGTATTTTATGGATGCAGCATCCAACTTCTATAAAAACTCCTAGTAAGTAGAAATATGGGTTTAGTCTTGATAATTTAGTTAGGATACAAATTATTCAAATTGTTATAAATAGTTTGAGAAGTGTGCTTAAGTGAACCATAATATTCAAGAATGCTGTAGCATGCTCATGTAACTATGTTAATTTGGACATTCATACCTTTTTATGTCATATTATCTTAAGTTGTTTCAATTTTTTTTGTCTAGCAACTCAAGTCACTACTTAAAGATTTTCATCTCAAATCTTTTCAAAGGCACAGTGGCTTTCCTAAGAGTGAGGATATTTATTGCTTAGTGTGCCTGTTGTCTCTGTATTAAGATTTGATCCATGATCAAATCTTTGCTTTTTTCCACCACATATCAAGAAAGTTGTTGCTGCAAATACAAAATCATTGTAGTACTTGCAGTACTCTTTCATGGGCTCCAGTAAATCCTAGATTACAGCCCTCTCGTTCTATGGTGTGGAATTCCCTGCATTTCATTTCAGAGATAAAAATAAATGTATACAAGCCTGCAGGTTTGAACTGTTCACACTGAATACAATGTTTAATACTGCCTCTGTGCCATCATAGAAAACACCTCCCAGAGTGTAAGCTCCTTTCTCTCTCCTAAGAAACTCCTGGGAGAGTGTTAGTAGTGTTTTACATGCCATGGGTGAGTCTTCCCAGACCTGGTTATCTCTGCAGGTGAGGAAGCCACAGAGGCTGCCCTGTATAAAACTCCTGCTTTGCAGTATGTTTTAATTTATACTATATGCAGGGCTGATCTGAGGCCCTTTGTCATATTTTAGTTAGCAGCTATTAGACACTCAAAATGTTTTACTGCCTATTTGATCACTGTACATAGTGGGAGGCACAGACATGGCTTACAGGTTCTGGCTGCTAAGGAAGAAATTCCGAGTCTTTAAAAATATGATGTTTTCCTAATGTTAGGAATTTTGTGACTGAACTTTTAAACTGAAGAAATAATAGAAAATAATGGTAAGGTTAGCACTTCTGGGAGACTGAAGAACCATAATCCCCTGTAAATGTCAGTTGAGAGGCTGTTAATAAATCCTTTCATCCTAATGTTCTCAGTACATAAAGTCACACAAATGTGGAGAATAAGTAATGGATTATACAGCTAAGATGATTGAAGATTGTGATGGATTAATCTGAGCACAGGAAATAAGGATATTTTTGGTAGAATAGGGTCAAGTAAAGTGCTTTTATTGTGTGCTTTCTACTTCTCTTTATTTTAAAGTCACTATTTATGGTCCACACTACAGGGAAACATCCAAAACATATTTTTATGCATTTGCAGTAGAAGGAGATTTAAAGAAGGAGAGTTAAATTGTTTTTGTACTATTTCAGTTTCATATTTTTAACGTGCTACCCAGCTGGTCATATGGCTGTGGTACAAGTTCAGTTTTTGATCAATGACTTATCCCTTTCCCAGTATCTGCAGAGCTGTAGAGATATAAACTGGAATACAAGTGAAAGATGATTTAACTTATTTCCTACTGAAGCCAGCAACATAAGAATAGCATTGATTTCATATTTGTTACTTAGAGATAAGTTCTTAGTGTCAGTAGTTATTGATTTAACTGTTCTTACCGTACAGAAATATCACATTTGTGTATCTGTTAATGTTGTGTAAGTTACCCCATGGCTTTGACTGTAATCTGAATTCTACTTTGAGAGGTTAGACTTGTGCAAAGGAGACTTGGATTGGTCAGGCCACCTTCTACCCATGCTGGTCTCTTCTTGATAAGGAGTTTTCTCCTTTTTAGTTTAAAAAGAGAGAAAGCCAGAATTTAAAAAAAAAAAAAACAATGAGGAAATCAACAGTCAGAAATGTACAATAGACTGATAAATCTTGTTCTCTTCATGTTTTCTGTATTTAAAATATTTACTAATTTAAAACATTTACTAATTTACTGTATTTAAAATATTTACTATAAATAGTTTATTTGTACCTCTTGTGTATGTTGCTCATGTTTACCTCAGTAATTGTTCCTCTTTTGTTTGTACACTCTCAAACCTGCAGATTGATTTAATTATTCATATTAAGTGTTGCATAAGCAAGCAAAGGAGTTCTCTGCTATTTTACTGTTCATCAGACTGCAGTTCTTCAAGCTGTCTGAAACTTGAATATTACTCTATGCCAAACTAATACTTCTGCAAGTGCACATTGCTGGCTCATGTCCAGCCTCTCACCCATCAGCACCTCAAAGTCCTTCTCGGTCACCAAAGCCTTCTGTTTTCCAGGCTTAACAAACCCAGTTCTTTCAGTCTCTCTTCACAGGATAAAAACTTCAGCTCATGACCTTGTAGGTGATGCTGTGCCAAACCCTGTCAATATTTTTATTTTCTTGAACTATTCTTGAAAGCTGCATATGGTATTCTAGATGTGGTCTGATGAATGTCAAATAAAGGGAGATGGTCGCTTCCCTTAATTGCTTAATTGCTGTCATGCTGTATTAACAGGTCAGTAGATTGAAGGAAGTGATCACTGCTGCTATGACATTTAGCTCAAGTTTCATCTGGGCCTTCCCAGGAGAACTGTTCCCCAGACAGTCCATATCCAGCCCATATTTTTTTTCAGGGAGTACTTCCTTTCCAGATGCAGGACTTTGCAGTTTGTTGAATTTCATGAGGTTCCTTTCAGCTACAATGAATCTTTTCCTCACAAGTGAAATAAAAAACAGTCAAAATAAATATAACACCAGAACTCAGTGAATGATCAGTCAGTTGATCACATTCTTTTGAGCTTTTTGATACATTTACATTGTAGTACCCAATGTTGAAAAGTTTGTAAGCTGGGACTCTTTTGAGACCTTAATTTATATATTGCACTTATTGTCTGTCTCAGCGCCAAATACCTACAAACACCATCTGCCCTTTGAGTCAGGGCTAGGGCATTCTCTAGCTGGGTCTCAGGAAACACAACCACCATATTTTATGTCTCCTATTGGTTGTGCTGTGTTGCCACAAGAGCTTAGTGGCAAAGACTGGTTCAGGAACAGTAAGAGCTGTTGCCTCCTCCATAAGGACTGTCAAGCATTTGGCTGGATTAGTCCAGTAGATTGTGTAGGCACCATCCCTGGAAGTTTCTAAAACCGCACTTGACAAACTCTTGAACAATCTAGTCTGAATGGTCTCAGTCCTACTGAGGATGTTGGACTGGGGATCTCAGTCCTACTGATGTTGGGACTGGGGACCAGTCTGACTGATTCTGTCTGAATGGCAAAATCTGCTGTGGGTATGTGCTGAAAGAACACTCTTCTTCCTGTATGGGTTTTGCAAAATTTCTGGA